GGTCAGTGACAACAGTAGCTAGAAGACGAGGGACAGTAGGACTGGCAACACGAACTAAGTCAGACTCAGGGTCCGGGTCGTCAGCAAGAGAGGACGCAGAAGGAGACGGCAGGGGGACACGCTGTGGAACAGCAGAAGGACGAAGTGCCATAATGTGAGTGCTGCGGACAGGAGGAGGAGACGGACAAAAAACACGACGACCAGTGTGAACAGTGCGAACAGGCGAGGCAGGACGAGACTCAGGCTCACGACGCTCTTTAAGAGAGTCTGTTTACTCAGCGTAAGGAGAAGGAGCAGGCAGTGGGGAGTCTGGCTGTAACTGTGATTGCGTCTGGTGAGGCGGTGGACACAGTAAGTGAGGAGTAAGGCCAGAAGAAGACGGGAGACTAAGAATCGGGCAAAGGACCGAGCCAGGTGGCGGCAGAGACGACGGCGGCGGCGGAACGAAAAACGGTCGCCGTTGCACAGTGTCTCCAGCACCAGGACCGCCAACTCCAGCACCCTCAGCGCCAGCACCTCCAGCTCCAGGGTCTCCAGCTCAAGTGCCTCCAGCTCCAGCGCCGCCAGCGCCAGCGCCTCCAGCTCCAGCGCCTCCAGCGCCAGTGCCTCCAGCTCCAGCTCCTCCAGCTCCAGCGCCTCCAGCGCCAGTGCCTCCAGCTCCAGGGTCTCCAGCTCCAGCGCCTCCAACACCACCAGCTCCGGCAGCTCGAATACCTCTAGTACGAGCACCTCCATGACCAGCAGCTCTAGCACCTCCGGTACCTCCAACTCCAGCAGTAACTCCCGCACCTCCAGGACTAGAAGCTCCAGCACCTCCAGCGCCAGTGCCTCCAGCTCCAATGCCTCCAGCACCAGTATTGCCAGCTCCAGCACCCCTAGCGCCAACACCTCCAGCTCCAGGGTCTCCAGCTCCAGCGCCTCCAGCTTCAGCTCCTCTAGCTCCAGCACCTCCAGCGCCAGCGCCTCCAGCTCCTCCAGCTCCAACGCCTCCAGCGCCAACGCCTCCAGCGCCAGCGCCTCCAGCTCCAGGGTCTCCAGCTCCAGAGCCTCCAGCTCCAGGGTCTCCAGCTCCAGTGCCTCCAGCTCCAGCACCTCCAGCTCCAGTGCCTCCAGCTGCAAGGTCTCCAGCTCCAGCGCCTCCAACACCACCAGCTCTGGCAACTCCAGTACCTCTAGTATGAGCACCTCCAGGACCAGCAGCTCCAACACCTCCGGTACCTCCAGCTCCAGTAGTAACTCGTGCACCTCCAGGACTAGTAGCTCCAGCACCTCCAGCTCCAGTGCCTCCAGCGGCAGGGCCTCCAGCTACTGCAGTGCCGCTCCTACGGCGTGTGTGCCAAGCAAACCACTCACGCAGCTGCCACGGTGAGAGTGGCTCCCGCCGGCGAGACGCAGGACAGGAAGGTCCTAGCGGAACCGCTCACGGAGCTGGAGACGTACTTTGCGGATCCAAGGGATCAAGTCATCAGGGACCTCACCCTTGCCGCGCAAGGGGAAGACCAAGGTATAACGCTTGTAGTCGTCAACAACTAGCAGAAAGTAGCGCTCGCGGCCCTATCCACTGACGCGGGCTGGGCCCTACACGTCCATGTGGAGAGTCTGCAGGGGAGCAGTCATCGGGGAAAACGAGGAGGAGTGAGGAGCGGCGCGCTGTCGCCCCTCGACGCAAGGAAGGCAGGGCGGGGCAGGCGAGGGCGAGAGGGGAGGCAAAGACCTGGGAAGACCAGAAACAAGGAGGTGGGAGTGCATGCCATGAAGGCGTGGCAGGGAATGGTGACCAAGGCGGTGGTTCCAAAGGAGAGTCTGGTGCGACAGGAGGCGACACGAACAGGGGGCGGCTACCTGACCTGACGCGGACACCTGACCAGAAGCAGCTACCTGAGCAGGCTTAGTAGTCAGTGTGTACAGACTCGACCCAGGCGGACGGGTGAACGTGGCCAGGTGACGGCCCGTCCGTGTACACGTGCAGATCGACACACGCTGACCCCCTGGAGTGGTGGTAGTGACCATCGCATCCTGGAGGGCAGCGGTACTCACCAAGTTCGTAGAGAACGAGGGGAGGTGAAGACCTGACAGTGAGCCAGACAGAACCGCCGGACACGGGAGAACAGTGGTGGAACATGCAAGAACTGGGCCCCCTGAGGGGTCAGCCAGTCTGACTGGAATAGGTGCAGGGAGTGGAGTGAGTGTGGTACTGTCGCGAAAGAAACAGCGGGAAGCACCTGATTCAAGCGTGAAGGTGTGCAAGGCCTCAGCAGGCGCAGTATCAGGGAGAGCAGACTCACTAGCACCTAGAGCAGCAGCCTCTATACGAAGCTGCTTGGGCGTAGGGGTCTCGCTCGGACTCTGCTGCTACTGCCTCTGGCCACCGCCAGAACCTCCCCTCTGAACAGCTCCACCCCGACCGCCACCACTTCCGCCGCCACCACTCCCACTGCCGCCACCACCGCCACCACCACTCCCACCGCTGCCACCACCGCCGCCACCGAAGTCCCCACTCCCGCCACCACTCCCACCGCCACCTCCGCCACCTCCACCGCCTCCACCGCCTCCACCACCACCACCCCCGCTGCCACCTCCAACACTCTTGCCTCCCTTGCCCTTGCCGCTGCGGCACTTCCTACTAGGAGCAGAAGCAGCCCCGACCTCATCAGTACCAAGGATGTCAACAGCAGCAGCAGAAGCGTAGGAGGGGGCAAGGGGGGATGGGGAACACCCCTCAAAGAAGGGTGTGCGAGGTGTGCCACGAGCAGCACCTACAGCGACTATGCTAGTCTCAGCTGCAAGGAGGTGCCTCTCAAGCAGGTCGACAGTGAGGTCTGTTGGGTCAAGTGCGAGAAAGTGGTCCCTGACTGCGCGAAGAGAGTCAGGGAGGCGGGTGACTATGAAGTAGAGAGTGATGTACATCGGGGGCGGGTTCTTGTCTAGGAAACTCGGCTTTGAGGGCAGCGCGGTAGCGAGTGTCGCTAGTGCGAAGGTGGGTGATGAGGTCCTCGACTATGGCAAAGGCTGACAGCTCGGGAAAAAGGTAGGGCAATATAAGGCGGCCGAGAGCAGCAGTGGCAGGGGAAGAGTAACGAGCGACTACAGCGTCGTACAGGGCCTTAGCAGTCTTGTGCTGGCCAAAGTGAGCGCGTTCGGCTAATAGCAGGTGGTTGCGAACGGCTAAGCGAGCAGCAGCGTCACGGGTAAGCCACTGTGAGCGAGTCGCACTGTCAACTGTGGCGGGAGGGGCGAGAGAGGCTCCAGACGTGAGGTCAAACAACAAAATGCCGTCTCTAGAATCACTAAGTAGGTACAGCTTTAAGTCATCGAGCCACATATCGAACTGGATCGGACGGCCCTCAGGATCGAATGTGAGGACGCTGAGAGAAGCCATAGCGGGCAGAGCAGAGTGGCGCGCGAGCAGCAGTGCAAGACGCAAGCAAGGACGGCGCGACGGGAAGGGCGGCGTGCAAGCGCTAGGGAAGCGCGCAGGGCAGGGCGGGGCGGCGCACGGCTAGGGCAGGGTGGCGCAACTGGCAGGGCAGGGTGGCGGCCAGCAAGGCGGCGTGCGGGCAGGGCATGGCAGGGCGGCGGCCAGCAGGGCGGCGCGCGGGCAGGGCAGGGCAGGGCGGCGGCCAGCAGGGCGGCGCGCGGGCAGGGCAGGGCGGTGGGGCGGCCAGCAGGGCGGCGCGCAGGCAGGGCAGGGCGATGCGGCGGCCAGCAGGGCGGCGCGCAGGCAGGGCAGGGCGACGCGGCGGCCAGCAGGGCAGCGCGCGGGCAGGGCAGGGCGACGCGGCGGCCAGCAGGGTGGCGCGCGGGCAGGGCAGGGCGGCGCGCAGCCAGCAGGGCGGCACGTAGCCAGCAGGGCGGCGCGACGCACAGGGCAGGGCGGCGCGCAGCAAGCTAGGCGGCGCAACGGGCAGGGCAGGGCAGCGCGCAGCCAGCAGGGCAGCGCGACAGGCAGGGCAGGGCAGGGCAGCGTGACTGGTGGGGTAGGGCGCTACGGGCAGCGAACTAATCGGTGGGCCCAAAAAAAAAACGGTCCTGGAACAGGACCTACTCTGAAACCATGTCAGAAACTAGACAAGAAAATGATTGCATTGAGAAGAAAGTTGGTACAAGTACTAACCCTAATTGGGTTGACCACGCAGGCGACTCTGAGAACAGACGATCACGCACCGGCTAGATCTACCGACTCGAGCCCGTCGGTCCTATCTCGTGGCAGTCGAGCAAGCAAGAACTAATTGCTCTCCCTTCAGCTGAAGCAGAATATATTGCACTCTGCTCAGCCACCAAGGAAGGATTGTATCTTCGCGAACTGCTGGAAGAAGCAAAACTGGCCCAATTACCCAGCTTCTCTCTCTTCTTCAACAACCACGTCCGAGATGGCAGCAGATTACTTGACCAAGAAACTTGGAAAGCAGAAGTTCGAGTACTGCATGCTGCTGACTGGACAGAGCCACGTCACCAGCAGCGAAGGCGACGACACTCCAGAAGCGAAGGGGGGTGTTGGAAACGTATAGATCGCGCTTCTGGTGTGTCGAGCGCTATAACAAGAACGAAGCAGACTCACAACGAAGCAACACCGAGTCAACCAAGCTACAGCGAAGCAGTTGACAAGGCGACAACCAGTAGGAGGTTGAAGCGAAGTTCAAAGGTCAGCAACCTTTGACTCGACAAAGGCAGTGCAACAGCAAGGACAAATAACTGACTCGTTATTGAGTAGTTCCCCGAGTCGTCACTGTATCGAACCGCAACAGCAGCAATCAATTAAACATTTCATATTCCTTGTACATCATATAAAGCCCTGTATCTCTTTGCTATAATCAACTTATCTTGTTCTCACACAACAGTGCAAGGTGGTTCAATCGGCCTTCATTAAATGCTTCTGCTAATACATCACTTTGAAGTCCTTGAAAACGATCCTAAGGGCCTTTCTCAGCCCAACATCAGCAAGGTCGATAGCACAGCTGATGCTGCTGCTGCTGTTACCCCCCCTGCTGCAACCCCCTACCTTACTCCCTGTCAGCGTGTACAAAGGCGGACTCAGCGAGGTCGATGGCGCGGCCAAGAGCAGCAGCCTTGTTGACCGTCTCCTGCCACTCCGCTGCCGGCACACTGTCCGCCACCACGCCCGCCCCCGCCTGCACATGCACCACCCACTCCTGCCGCCGCTTCAACCCCGCCCCTGCCCCACCGCCCCTGCCACTGCCACTGTTACTACCACTGCTGCTGCTGCTGCTCATACCACTGCTGCTGTTGTATGCAAAGAGGGTGTCGGAGCGGCTAGCAGAGGAGGTGGGGAAGACCATGGTGCGGAGGGCGAGGGCAAAGTCCATGTTGCCGGCGAACGACACGTACCCGATGCCCCCCGCGTAGGGACCCCGACGAGTCACCTCCAACTCATCGATTAGCTCCATGGCTCGCACCTGTAGAGGGGGAGAGGGAGCGAGATGTGGGGAAGGGGAATGAGTTTTCATTCAAGATGCATTTCTACGATGCTGAATTGCGAATCACCTCGCGTCCGAAAATTCTCAAAAGTGACACAAACTTGTCAGAATTCTCAAAACTACTGAACGACTTGTGAGCCGATTCATGAGGTACTTCTAGGAAGCGTTCCGTGTCAGGAAGGAACTCACCTTAGGCGCGCCGCTGACGGTGCCGACAGGGAGGGCGGCACGCAGGGCGTCCCAGCAGGTGAGGTGCGGGAGAAGCTGCCCCGTGACCTGTGGGTGGTTGAGAGAGGGATAGACGGGGGTGGGAAGGGGTGGAGGGACGCGGAGAAGGATGGAGGGGGGATGAAGGAGACGGAAGGGGAAGGTGGGCAGCACGCAGGGCGTCCCAGCAGATAAGGTGCCGGAGGAGCTGCCCCCTGACCTGTGGGTGGTTGGAGGAAGGTTGGGGGAATTGGGGAGGGGTGGAGGGGGTGGAGGCGGGAAGAAGGAGAGAAGAGAAGAGAGTGGGCGGCACTCTCTTCAACCTGTGTGCCGCCCACTCTCTTCAACCTGTGTGCCGCCCACTCTCTTCAACCTGTGTGCCGCCCACTCCCTTCACCTTGCGCTTGCACAGGAAAAGCTGACTGGGGGAGTGTATCAGTGCAAGGATGGGGGATGGTTTGAGAAACGCGAGAAGGCGTGAATTCCCAGGGGCAGAAAGCGGACTGGCAGAGGGTTCATATCACTCTCGAGAATTCTCAAAAGGGTTCAGTTTTGAGACGTCTCGTTTTGATTTTGAGACGTCTCAAAACTAGAATTCTCAAAAGGTTTCACATCACAATGTAATACAGGAACTGGAACCTGCACTTCACACCTCTGAGTTTGCAAGCACAATTCCCACCTCTAGTCCGGAAACTGGAGGAGATTCGGTGTGCTGTGCATAAATTGTGTACCGTGCTGGTGATGTGTGTGACATGTGAGTAGCACTCCACCTGCTGCTTATCATGCATGATGGTGTGGGTGTACCATAAGCCTGCAGTGTAACTTTACCATGGAAAAATGGCACCCGTACCGTGCTGCTGCTGTGCATGACATGCGAGTAGCGCTCCACCTGAATCAGCCTACCACGCATGATGGTGCGGATGTATCATAAGCCTGTGGTGTGAGTGTGTATGACAAAAGAAGAGCATGTTGCCTGTACCGTGCTGCTGATGTGCATGACATGCGAGTAGCGCTCCACCTCCATGAGCTTCTCCACCACCACTGAGCCCGCCACCGACACCTGCATGCATGGTGTGGCATGGCATGGCATGGGATACATTGAGCGGTTAGTTGATACATGGACCGAATGAGAGCTTGGGGTGCTTCACAGCATCTCCATGAGCTTCTCCACCACCACTGACCCCGCCACCGACACCTGCATGGAATGACATGACATGGCATGGCATGACATGGCATGGGATTCATTGAGAAGTCGATACATGGACCGATTGAGAGCTTGAGCTCCACTGCTCAAAGCACCTCCATGAGCTTCTCCACCACCACTGACCCCGCTACCGACACCTGCATGTATGGTGTGGCATGGCATGGCATGGCATGGCATGGAGTGGGTGTGGGATGGGATACAATGAGAGCTTGGCCTGCATGATGCATCGCAGCATCTCCATGAGCTTCTCCACCTCCACTGACCCCGCCACCAACACCTGCATGCATGGTGTGGCATGGTGTGGGATAGACTGAGAGGTTGGACTGATACACAGCACCTCCAAGAGCTCTTCTCCAAGTTTACTGATCCCGGCCACTCACACCTGCATGGCACAAGATGGCATGGTGTGGGATGGGTGGATGGCGTGTGCCAGTATCATGTGGCACAGGATGGCATGGCATGGATGACACAGTGTACCAAGTGCCCACCTTCCCCACAACTCACCTTCCCCGCAACTCACCTTCCCCGCATCTCACCTTCCCCACAACTCACCTTCCCCACAACTCACCTTCCCCACATCTCACCTTCCCCACATCTCACCTTCCCCACGTCGTTTCTCCCCAGGTCCACGAGCATGACGTGCTCGGCCACCTCCTTCTCATCCGCCAGGAGATCCTCTTCCAGAGCCAAGTCCTCCTCTGCCGTCTGCCCCCTCCTCCTCGTCCCCGCTAGAGGCCGATTCACCACAGTCTGTAGCACAAAACGATAATGGTGAAAAGAGATGGACACGAGAAGAGTAAGGAGGGAGCAGAGGAGCAGGAGAGCATTAGGATTCGCCTTCACTCAGCAGGTTCGCTTCCAATGCTCCACGGCTGCCAGGAGGACTTGGCAGACGGCAGAGGAGGACTTGGCTCAGGAGAGCATCTGCCAGCAGGTCTGCCTCCAAAGCCACGTCCTCCTCTGCCGTCTGCCCCCTCCTCCTCGTCCCCGCTAGAGGGCGGTGCGGTTCACCACAGTCTGTAGTGTGAGATGACGATGGATTTAAGGGGGAGAATATGGGCATGGGTTGAGTAGGCAGGTGGATTTTCCTTCTCCGACATGAAGCATATCCAACTTCTCAGTACAGATTTATGCGAACAAGCCGGCAAAAGCGCGAGTCGACTCAGAATCTTTTCAGTACATATTTACGTTAACAAGCCTGCGAAAAAGAGGGGCTGGACTTACCGAGCCTGAAGCTAACACGAGCTGGACTTACCGAGCCTGAGATTCGGCAGAGGATTTCGGGACTTGAAGCCACTAGAATGGAGCCACGTGCCTGACAGGTGGCAAAGCGGAGCAGAGGCAATGGAGAAACAGGCACAGGTGAGCACAGGCAAACACGCTGTTTGGGTTGGCATGGTGCACGCCCGCACACACAGCTGCACACACACATCCGGCTCAAAGGTCTACTCCGACCATTCTGCATGGTGCCCAGCCTATTCGAATCGAACTGCTGGCTGAGCACGATTTGACATCCAAGGAGCACATCTTGGGCGCCAGCACCGCTGCTTCAAACTGCTCCCACTGAATTAGCTGCTCCCTCTAGCGCAAGCCACACCATGACACATCAACCCTGGATCTCGGATGTTGTTTTTTGTTTCTTTTGCTATTTTTGGGAGCGTACCTGCAGGTAAGCCAGATAAGGGCTGGAGTTGACAATCCTCAGTGCCTGCCCGGTACACCTCAAAAGGATCAGCAAACGTCCTCCGTTCAAACCGCTGGCTGAGCTGAGCACGATTTGGAAAATATCCCCTGCTAGGATGTGCTCCTTGGACTCCAGCACCGCTGCTTCAAACTGCTCCCACTGCTCCCTCGAGGCCAATCCAAACCAAGTCCAAAACAACTCTGGTTTTTTGGCTTACCTGGAGGTAGGCCATATACGGGCTGGGATTGACGAACCTCAGAGCCCGGTACACCTCAAACGGATCCGCAAAGGTCCGCCGTTCAAACCGCTGGCTGAGCACGATCTGAAAAACATCCCCTGCCAGGATGTTCTCCTTAGACTCCACCACCGCTGCCTCAAACTGCTCCAACTGCTCCCTCTAGCCCAAGCCAAAACCAAGACACACCAAGCCTGGATTTCGTATGATGTTTTCGTTTCGTTTGCTCTTTTTGGGAGCATACCTGCAGGTAGGCCAGATACGGGCTAGGGTTGACGATCCTCAACGCCCGGTACACCTCAAACAAATCCGCAAAGGTCCGCCGTTCAAACCGCTGGCTGAGCACGATCTGAAAGATGTCTCCCGCTAGGATGTGCTCCTTAGACTCCAGCACCGCTGCCTCAAACTGCTCCCGCCCAAGCCCGACCAGGAATGCGATGCAACAACCCCCCTTCTCTCGGTTCTTTGTTTGCTTTTTATTTGATCCCTTCGAAAGCGCACCTGCAGATAGGCTAAGTAGGGGCTGGGATTGACGATCCTCAGAGCCCGGTACACCTCGAACGGATCCGCAAAAGTCCTCCGTTCAAACCGCTGGCTGAGCACGATCTGGAAGATGTCTCCCGCCAGGATGTGCTCCTTAGACTCCAGCACCGCTGCTTCAAACTGCTCCCGCGTCATCGTGGACTGTGCGGGCGGGCCCTGCTGCCTCGTGTCCAGATTCACCGAACCTGCCGGCAGTACAGGGCTGGGGGAGGGAAGGGAAGGAGGGGAGGAAGCGAAGAGGGCCTATCTTCTTCCTCTTTCGAGGCCAGCTCTTGAGTGAGTTTGATGGGTGAGAGGCAAGATGGGGAGAGGCAAGAGTCCGACTCGTTGATGGGTGAAAAATACTGAGTTTTGAAACTTCTCGAACCTCAAACTCTCGCTGAAGCAGGCTGCAGCAGTCGACCGAAGTGGTGACGCGGGGAAAACAGAAGTTGACGAGCTAGTGGAGAGAAATGTGTTTCGAGACATCTCAAAATCCCAACCAACTCACGATTGAGCGGGCTGCTTCAAACTGCTCCCGCGTCATCGTGGACTGTCCAGGTTGGTTGCAGGCAGTCCACGAGCGTGGAGAGGCGGGAGAGGCCAATAGAGCACCAAGCAGGTGCCATGGTGTCAATACGTGGTGCTTCATTCTGCTCAGAACCAGCGCTGACTTGAAACTCAAACTCACGCTGAAGCGGGCTGCAGGCAGTCAACGAGCGTGGAGAGGCGGGAGAGACCAATAGAGCACCAAGCAGGTGCCATGGTGTCAACAATACTTGGTGCTTCATTCTGCTCAGAACCAGCGCTGACTTGAAACTCAAACTCACGCTGAAGCGGGCTGCAGGCAGTCAACGAGCGTGGAGAGGCGGGAGAGGCCCGACGAGAATGCGTCAGAGGCGGAGGGATAGTCGTCTACATGCACCCAGCACACCACGTGCACTATCTGCAAGGGGTGGAGAGGGGTGGAGGTGGGCGCAGGGGGAAGAACAAGTGGGGAAGCGCACCAGAGCCCCGACCAGAAGGCGTTGGAGGCGGAGGGGTAGTCGTGTATGTGCACTGCACCCAGCACACCACGTGTACTATCTGCAGAGAAGAGAGTGGTGGCAAGGGGTGCAAAGGGGTGAAGAGGGTCGGAGAGGGATGGGACGGAGTGGGCACGGAGAGCAAGTGGGGAAGAGCACCATTGATCCGACGACAAGGCCAGAGAGGCGGAGGGGTAGTCGTCTGTGTGCTGTGCACCCAGCACACAACGTGCACTGGATGAAAAGGGGTGGAATGGAAAGGGGTGCACATCACATCGCATCACATCATCGCATGCACGTCGCATCGCATCGAATCGCATCGAATCTCATCGCATCGCATCGCATCGCATCCCATCCCATCCCATCCCATCCCATCCCATCCCATCCCATCCCATCCCATCCCATCCCATCCCATCCCATCCCATCCCATCCCATCCCATCCCATCCCATCCCATCCCATCCCATCGCATCCCATCGCATCGCATGAGCGTCGCATCGCGTCACGTCACACACACACACACACACACACACACACACACACACACACACACACACACACACACACACACACACACACACACACACACACACACACACACACACACACACACACACCTTGGTGACGTGGTCGAACACCACCACATCGTTGCACAGGCTCACGGGCACGTCTGGCAGGTGGCTCAGATACCATACAGCACAGCAAACCACACCACAACACAGCACCGCACAGCACTGCGCACCACACCTACCTTGGTGACATGGTCAAACACCACCACATCGTTGTACAGGCTCACGGGCACGTCTGGCAGGTGGCTCTCTGTCTGAGGCACCTCGAAAAGCAAAAATACAATGTAGCACAGCACTGCACCGCACAGCACCGCACCGCATACCTTGGTGACGTGGTCGAACACCACCACGTCGTTGTACAGGCTCAGGTGCACGTCTGGCAGGTGGCGATCGTCCATTGGTGCAGAGGAGAAAGGAAGCTTCTTGGACTCCACATAGCGCACCGAGTCGTATGACGTGTACCCCACCCAGCCACCTGGTGACAGACAAGGGCGGGGGACGAGGGGCAATGGGGAGAAGATGGGAAAGAGAAAGAAGGGAGACAGAAAAAGGGAGAGCATTTCATTTCCAGCTTCTAGGACTCCACATAGCGCATCGAGTCGTGTGACGTGTACCCCACCCAGCCGCCTGGGGATAGAGCAGAGAGGGCAGTGAGCGAGCAGAGAGGGCAGTGAGCGAGCAGAGAGGGCAGTGAGCGAGCAGAGAGGGCAGTGAGCGAGCAGAGAGGGCAGTGAGAGCATTCGAGCAGAGAGGTGACTTTTGAGTCGACACAAAAGTCACCTCTTTCGAATAAAAAAACGTCAAGGGTGGCACGAGTATGGCACGGAGAGGGAGAGAGAGAGCATTCGAGTAGAGAGGGAGAAAGAGCATTCGAGTAGAGAGGGAGAAAGAGCATTCGAGTAGAGAGGGAGAAAGAGCATTCGAGTAGAGAGGTAGAAAGAGCATTCGAGTAGAGAGGGAGAAAGAGCATTCGAGTAGAGAGGGAGAAAGAGCATTCGAGTAGAGAGGGAGAAAGAGCATTCGAGTAGAGAGGGAGAAAGAGCATTCGAGTAGAGAGGGAGAAAGAGCATTCGAGTAGAGAGGGAGAAAGAGCATTCGAGTAGAGAGGGAGAAAGAGCATTCGAGTAGAGAGGGAGAAAGAGCATTCGAGTAGAGAGGGAGAAAGAGCATTCGAGTAGAGAGGAGTTGGGGAGAGATTCAGCACTGACCGCAGAAGGAGTTGGGGAGAGATTCACCACTGACCGCAGAAGGAGTTGGGGAGAGATTCAGCACTGACCGCAGAAGGAGTTGGGGAGAGATTCACCACTGACCGCAGAAGGAGTTGGGGAGAGATTCAGCACTGACCGCAGAAGGAGTTGGGGAGAGATTCACCACTGACCGCAGAAGGAGTTGGGGAGAGATTCACCACTGACCGCAGAAGGAGTTGGGGAGAGATTCACCACTGACCGCAGAAGGAGTTGGGGAGAGATTCACCACTGACCGCAGAAGGAGTTGGGGAGAGATTCACCACTGACCGCAGAAGGAGTTGGGGAGAGATTCACCACTGACCGCAGAAGGAGTTGGGGAGAGATTCACCACTGACCGCAGAAGGAGTTGGGGAGAGATTCACCACTGACCGCAGAAGGAGTTGGGGAGAGATTCACCACTGACCGCAGAAGGAGTTGGGGAGAGATTCACCACTGACCGCAGAAGGAGTTGGGGAGAGATTCACCACTGACCGCAGAAGGAGTTGGGGAGAGATTCACCACTGACCGCAGAAGGAGTTGGGGAGAGATTCACCACTGACCGCAGAAGGAGTTGGGGAGAGATTCACCACTGACCGCAGAAGGAGTTGGGGAGAGATTCAGCACTGACCGCAGAAGGAGTTGGGGAGAGATTCACCACTGACCGCAGAAGGAGTTGGGGAGAGATTCAGCACTGACCGCAGAAGGAGTTGGGGAGAGATTCAGCACTGACCGCAGAAGGAGTTGGGGAGAGATTCACCACTGACCGCAGAAGGAGTTGGGGAGAGATTCACCACTGACCGCAGAAGGAGTTGGGGAGAGATTCACCACTGACCGCAGAAGGATTTGGGGAGAGATTCACCACTGACCGCAGAAGGAGTTGGGGAGAGATTCACCACTGACCGCAGAAGGAGTTGGGGAGAGATTCACCACTGACCGCAGAAGGAGTTTGGGAGAGATTCACCACTGACCGCAGAAGGAGTTGGGGAGAGATTCACCACTGACCGCAGAAGGAGTTGGGGAGAGATTCACCACTGACCGCAGAAGGAGTTGGGGAGAGATTCACCACTGACCGCAGAAGGAGTTGGGGAGAGATTCACCACTGACCGCAGAAGGAGTTGGGGAGAGATTCACCACTGACCGCAGAAGGAGTTGGGGAGAGATTCAGCACTGACCGCAGAAGGAGTTGGGGAGAGATTCAGCACTGACCGCAGAAGGAGTTGGGGAGAGATTCACCACTGACCGCAGAAGGAGTTGGGGAGAGATTCACCACTGACCGCAGAAGGAGTTGGGGAGAGATTCAGCACTGACCGCAGAAGGAGTTGGGGAGAGATTCAGCACTGACCGCAGAAGGAGTTGGGGAGAGATTCACCACTGACCGCAGAAGGAGTTGGGGAGAGATTCAGCACTGACCGCAGAAGGAGTTGGGAAGAGATTCACCACTGACCGCAGAAGGAGTTGGGGAGAGATTCACCACTGACCGCAGAAGGAGTTGGGGAGAGATTCACCACTGACCGCAGAAGGAGTTGGGGAGAGATTCAGCACTGACCGCAGAACGAGTTGGGGAGAGATTCAGCACTGACTGCAGAAGGAGTTGGGGAGAGATTCACCACTGACCGCAGAAGGAGTTGGGGAGAGATTCACCACTGACCGCAGAAGGAGTTGGGGAGAGATTCACCACTGACCGCAGAAGGAGTTGGGGAGAGATTCACCACTGACCGCAGAAGGAGTTGGGGAGAGATTCACCACTGACCGCAGAAGGAGTTGGGGAGAGATTCACCACTGACCGCAGAAGGAGTTGGGGAGAGATTCACCACTGACCGCAGAAGGAGTTGGGGAGAGATTCACCACTGACCGCAGAAGGAGTTGGGGAGAGATTCACCACTGACCGCAGAAGGAGTTGGGGAGAGATTCACCACTGACCACAGAAGGAGTTGGGGAGAGATTCAGCACTGACCGCAGAAGGAGTTGGGGAGAGATTCAGCACTGACCGCAGAAGGAGTTGGGGAGAGATTCACCACTGACCGCAGAAGGAGTTGGGGAGAGATTCAGCACTGACCGCAGAAGGAGTTGGGGAGAGATTCAGCACTGACCGCAGAAGGAGTTGGGGAGAGATTCACCACTGACCGCAGAAGGAGTTGGGGAGAGATTCACCACTGACCGCAGAAGGAGTTGGGGAGAGATTCACCACTGACCGCAGAAGGAGTTGGGGAGAGATTCAGCACTGACCGCAGAAGGAGTTGGGGAGAGATTCAGCACTGACCGCAGAAGGAGTTGGGGAGAGATTCAGCACTGACCGCAGAAGGAGTTGGGGAGAGATTCACCACTGACCGCAGAAGGAGTTGGGGAGAGATTCACCACTGACCGCAGAAGGAGTTGGGGAGAGATTCACCACTGACCGCAGAAGGAGTTGGGGAGAGATTCAGCACTGACCGCAGAAGGAGTTGGGAAGAGATTCACCACTGACCGCAGAAGGAGTTGGGGAGAGATTCAGCACTGACCGCAGAAGGAGTTGGGGAGAGATTCACCACTGACCGCAGAAGGAGTTGGGGAGAGATTCAGCACTGACAACAGAAGGAGTTGGGGAGAGATTCACCACTGACCGCAGAAGGAGTTGGGGAGAGATTCACCACTGACCGCAGAAGGAGTTGGGGAGAGATTCACCACTGACCGCAGAAGGAGTTGGGGAGAGATTCACCACTGACCGCAGAAGGAGTTGGGGAGAGATTCACCACTGACAGCAGAAGGAGTTGGGGAGAGATTCACCACTGACCGCAGAAGGAGTTGGGGAGAGATTCACCACTGACCGCAGAAGGAGTTGGGGAGAGATTCACCACTGACCGCAGAAGGAGTTGGGGAGAGATTCACCACTGACCGCAGAAGGAGTTGGGGAGAGATTCAGCACTGACCGCAGAAGGAGTTGGGGAGAGATTCAGCACTGACCGCAGAAGGAGTTGGGGAGAGATTCACCACTGACCGCAGAAGGAGTTGGGGAGAGATTCACCACTGACCGCAGAAGGAGTTGGGGAGAGATTCACCACTGACCGCAGAAGGAGTTGGGGAGAGATTCAGCACTGACCGCAGAAGGAGTTGGGGAGAGATTCACCACTGACCGCAGAAGGAGTTGGGGAGAGATTCAGCACTGACCGCAAAAGGAGTTGGGGAGAGATTCACCACTGACCGCAGAAGGAGTTGGGGAGAGATTCACCACTGACCGCAGAAGGAGTTGGGGAGAGATTCACCACTGACCACAGAAGGAGTTGGGGAGAGATTCACCACTGACCGCAGAAGGAGTTGGGGAGAGATTCACCACTGACCGCAGAAGGAGTTGGGGAGAGATTCACCACTGACCGCAGAAGGAGTTGGGGAGAGATTCACCACTGACCGCAGAAGGAGTTGGGGAGAGATTCACCACTGACCGCAGAAGGAGTTGGGGAGAGATTCACCACTGACCGCAGAAGGAGTTGGGGAGAGATTCACCACTGACCGCAGAAGGAGTTGGGGAGAGATTCACCACTGACCGCAGAAGGAGTTGGGGAGAGATTCACCACTGACCGCAGAAGGAGTTGGGGAGAGATTCACCACTGACCGCAGAAGGAGTTGGGGAGAGATTCAGCACTGACCGCAGAAGGAGTTGGGGAGAGATTCAGCACTGACCGCAGAAGGAGTTGGGGAGAGATTCAGCACTGACCGCAGAAGGAGTTGGGGAGAGATTCACCACTGACCGCAGAAGGAGTTGGGGAGAGATTCACCACTGACCGCAGAAGGAGTTGGGAGAGATTCACCACTGACCGCAGAAGGAGTTGGGGAGAGATTCAGCACTGACCGCAGAAGGAGTTGGGGAGAGATTCAGCACTGACCGCAGAAGGAGTTGGGGAGAGATTCAGCACTGACCACAGAAGGAGTTGGGGAGAGATTCACCACTGACCGCAGAAGGAGTTGGGGAGAGATTCACCACTGACCGCAGAAGGAGTTGGGGAGAGATTCACCACTGACTGCAGAAGGAGTTGGGGAGAGATTCACCACTGACCGCAGAAGGAGTTGGGGAGAGATTCACCACTGACCGCAGAAGGAGTTGGGGAGAGATTCACCACTGACTGCAGAAGGAGTTGGGGAGAGATTTACCACTGACCGCAGAAGGAGTTGGGGAGAGATTCACCACTGACCGCAGAAGGAGTTGGGGAGAGATTCACCACTGACCGCAGAAGGAGTTGGGGAGAGATTCACCACTGACCGCAGAAGGAGTTGGGGAGAGATTTACCACTGACCGCAGAAGGAGTTGGGGAGAGATTCACCACTGACCGCAGAAGGAGTTGGGGAGAGATTCACCACTGACCGCAGAAGGAGTTGGGGAGAGATTCACCACTGACCGCAGAAGGAGTTGGGGAGAGATTCACCACTGACCGCAGAAGGAGTTGGGGAGAGATTCACCACTGACCGCAGAAGGAGTTGGGGAGAGATTCACCACTGACCGCAGAAGGAGTTGGGGAGAGATTCACCACTGACCGCAGAAGGAGTTGGGGAGAGATTCAGCACTGACCGCAGATGGAGTTGGGGAGAGATTCACCACTGACCGCAGAAGGAGTTGGGGAGAGATTCACCACTGACCGCAGAAGGAGTTGGGGAGAGATTCAGCACTGACCGCAGATGGAGTTGGGGAGAGATTCACCACTGACCGCAGAAGGAGTTGGGGAGAGATTCAGCACTGACCGCAGAAGGAGTTGGGGAGAGATTCAGCACTGACCGCAGAAGGAGTTGGGGAGAGATTCACCACTGACCGCAGAAGGAGTTGGGGAGAGATTCACCACTGACCGCAGAAGGAGTTGGGGAGAGATTCACCACTGACCGCAGAAGGAGTTGGGGAGAGATTCACCACTGACCGCAGAAGGAGTTGGGGAGAGATTCACCACTGACCGCAGAAGGAGTTGGGGAGAGATTCAGCACTGA